AATTATACTCTTTCTTCGATTATATAATATAAAGACGTGAATTTCTATCAGCAAAAAGAAACATCATACTTATATTCGCGGTTTTTATAAAATATATATGAATTTGTAAGACCATCGAAAATCAGTGAAAAAGGGTCTGCTACTAAAGTTGGCATTTACACCAAGGGCGCTTGCTACGGGAGCCTGAAGAGCAGCACATTCAAAGTTAACATACTAACGAGTCCAAAAGAATACAGGACTATGCCACAAGATAATCTGCATTACAACTGCGCCTAAGTAATCGTTCTTAACGCATTTCAGAATTCCAGTCAACATTTCATGAGATCGGTCATTCACTGTATATGCAAGACAAATGTAAACTTATACTAACGTCTCAGTTGCTACGTGGAGTACATTTTCATGTGATCTGGGAGAGGTTTTTCGAATCGGCGCCAAAAACGAACCTTTGGCGTTATGATTTTCAATTCATTGAGGATCTGTGCCCTACCAATCAACGTTACTTAGTTTTATCGTTTTAAATGATTCGACATCGGAATTCCGTAACAGTTGATGTTGAGCATTCTATTAATGTGAATGTGTTTAAGTGCGTTTGGATGCTCTTCTGATAAAGGTCGACCACAGTTATGACTGTTAACTTGCTGCTATCTCGTTTTAAACAGCTCATTATGTTTGCATAACTTATATACTGCTGAACTTATTGCATGTAAATTCATTCGATCTATTATTCGCTGTCGGCCAGCAAATTCACCAGTCGTTTGACATTCTCACTTCATCATCATTTTTATGCACTACGCATACTGAAAGTAACCGCAAACCTTTGCATTCTAGCTGCCCTTCAGGTAATTTTAATTTTTAAGTGGAGATTCAAAGGGCTTTCCTCATTTACTCTAAGTACACAGACTTGATTTGATTTAAACAAAGGATAACGAGCTCTCGTCATTCACTTGTGAAAAAAAAGTAGTGCGTGAACAGCAAGAGGAATCAAAAATAAACTTTTGACGGCTGGCCGACTAAGAATTGTGTTCTATCACAACACCTACGAATGTAATTTGACAGTAATATGTCGATTAATCAATAAGAGACTCTCAAGTTATGCAAGCATATGCTATGCCTTATCAGCAGACCATGGTCTTAGCAGCCCTGTGTCCGCCGGCAATCCTCTGGCACTTCCTGGGCATACAGGTGCTGAGCCTGGTTCCTCAGTCATCCTCGTACTTCTGACCAGTTGCGATGATGTTATTACTGGTTAGAATCCCTATCAATCATTTTTTGTGGACCGGAGGATGTGTTGGTGGCCTGAGTGCGGCTCCGGCCGTGTCATCCATTTGCGCTCTCACTCAAACAGGGTTTTCATGACTATGTCTTGTCGCCGGGCCCAGGTGAGAATAAGGAGGGGTGCATTGGATGCTGCGAAAGTCACCGCGCCAGCTCCACCTTGCTGTGGAACACACGGCGAACAACGTGTGGCATGACGGCTGAACAATCGAAAAGAGTCTGCATGTAGAGTGCCGAAAATTTAATTCAAATTTTAAAGCAGAGGACACGTAATATTTCTCGTCTCGTTTCACTATTTTCGCCAAATTTAAAGGTACACCTTAAACAAAATATTTACCGAGTATATGAGGGGATTTTCAGATAAAAGAGTACGCATGCACCGTGGGAGTAAAAAAGTAGTGGCTTGGTTCTGATAAACAGTAATTTTGACGCAAAAACATGGGGTTTTCAGAACCTTTATTATGCCTATGGACATGTCTCCGAAAGGTTGGGAATATTTCCTGTATAAAATTGCTCATTTGCCTTCCGCCATGCTTAAAGCTAATTTTCAACCCGAGTTATCTTCCCTGAACAGATAAGATTGCGAGACATTTAAACTTATTCACACCGACGTCTACACGATTGAATATGAGCATTGGAACGAAAATCGTCCAACAAACTAAAAGTTTGACTAAGTCTTGAAGGCCCCAGAAGCCAACTTAAGTTAATGAAAGATGCTCATGGAATATTTCGAATTTCATTATACCTATAGAATAGAAGTGCATCATAGTTGAATCCGTATTCTCGTTTCATCGAACCCTTCGCAGTATTGACTGAGATGGGGTGGGGGGTATTCTCAGTCATTGATTTTGCATTTTGTTTTGCTAATTATCAAACGACCTCAAAGTAACTTTATTCGTCTGCTAGTTGCAATAGAACTTCATGTAACTTAATAGCCATTATTTCGATTATACTGGCCATTTAAAAACAAAATTCCCAACAGCGATATAAGTGCATTTTCAGCCAGGTACCACTGGCTCTGCTTATGTTTGCATCCTAACGTCAACTCCGTCAGCGGCGCGCGATGTGGTCTAGAGTACGTCTTTGGCCAAGGTGGAAAGACAAGCCTAATGTCACTGGTTTGACATGTTCGTTTTTGAAGCATTTTGTCCCCGGTACGAAGCTGAAGTAGGCAAGAACAGCAGGATTTATTGGCACCAAAAAATTTCGCGACTGCTCTTCAGCTGCTTCCTGTCTCTTCATAAGAAGGATAACGAGTGAGAACAATACAACAGATTTGAATTCATGTTCGTTTTTATCATACTGCCTTTTCGTCGTCCACAAGCCTTATCATGTCAGAGTCTACTTTTTCGGTACCAGCCGCAAGATGTGCTCGACCCCGATCAAAATTACCGTGAGCCTCTTTTCTTGTCGTAAGCTTTTTTTGGTCGGCATGAGTGTACTCGATAACCGTTTACCGCTTTTGAACCAGTAAACACGTCTAAAGAAGGTGCAGATGTCACTGCTACAATGAGATAATAATGATGTCGCACTTTGCTTATTGAATTTCATTTTTTCCTCACTTAATCAATATCGAACCCAATGACTAAGAACAAGTAGAGATGCAAAGAAAATTGAATTCGATAAGAGAGAGCCCTCACATTTTCCCAACAGCGCATCTAAAATAAAATAACCGGAACTTGATTCACTAATTGTAGACTTCAGTCAATATACCCGATTTAAATTAATTTGCGTATATTGGGTCGCTTATGTCTGCTTTGATACATATATATTTTCAAAAAAGCGCAACCCCAGGAACTTGTATTTTGCATTACTTAAGTAATAGCTTAAATATGATTGAAAATGATCACCCTAAAAATGAGGTTATTTCAGCCTGTTGATACTGTGCGACGTGTAAATTGCCCATCTATGAGCATGCGCACTGAATATATGAAATCCTGGCAGCACCAGTAGGTGACAAATATAAGATTTAGCGACCAAAATAGTCTTAGAACATCAATACGATAAGAGACAACTTTCGAAGACGTATCCAGGATAAACTAGCAATTAGCTCCAGCATTTATTCTAGTACTCGTTGGAAATCGAGATATCTTACGTTTTGAACGGAAGAATACTGATTAGATGATCCGAAACATTTAAAACTAACTTCGAATTTTGATTTTCTGACATGAACTGTCGTAATTATTGGCATCATTTAGGCCAATGCATACCTTTTGGTGCTTATTCGAAATCATCAGTAGGATATCTAAGTGACTTAGATGGGCATCCTTTAAATAAAATGAATTGATTTGCTTAGAAGACGTCTAAAATCACTGCGAAATGCCAGCACTATGCAATGGTCACGTATTCAACAAAGTATATTCTCCGCAAGCCCGTTTTAAATTTCATATAAATAGCGTCATGCATTTAAAAACACCCGCTGCACAATGATAATGTGGCTATCAACAAAAAATACTGACGTGCATCCCTAATTGTTCACCTCTGTTATCGCCGTATTTCTGTCCATGACGCGTCAACTGACGTGGACTTTTCGTTATAATCGAGAAATGTTCATTTCCCATCTGGGCTTGCCGAGCTGATTAACAGTTGGCTTACTCCGGGAACGAAGAATAAACGATAATATCTTGCGTTTTAATTACATATTGCTTACAGTGTCTGCAAACGGGACTTCAACAACCTCGATGGAGTACTGTCTTCGATGGTGTCTGCTTTCAGTCCGGTTATTACGTTTCCTAATAATCATGCAGGCGTATACTCTTTTTTTGCTTTAACTTCATTCAAGAGGGGGAGTTCGATTTAAAACATTCTTTACATACGTTCACATATTGTACAACTGAAGCCACCATTCGCAGCAAACAATATACTATTACAGTGGGGCCGCAATATTATTTATCATAAACGACATACTTTTTAACTTTTATGAAAAATTATAATCTGTGAAAAATTACCTCTTAACTAATTCGAATTCGTCTTATTAGTTAACGGTGGCCTTGCTAATTAAAATATGCCTTATATAAGAACTGCACAAAAATTATTTGTTCTCTTAAGCAGTTATAAGTGAATAACTTCTCCTTTTAATTTCATACTTGAGGAAAATGTATCTTTCTTTTATCCTGACCCTAGGTTATATTCAACGAAATTGCGTTTATCATAATAAACCTGACCGACCGTCGTGCCGTCTGTAGCATACAGTGTACGAGCGAATTTAGTGAGGAAATAATTTAAGTACACTGCACAACACGTTGCCATGCTTTTATTATTTTTAGGATTCTCTTGCTTACATTGGCAGACCTCATTAACTCACCAATCAAAGCTAAATATTTGATTCCAATCTTTTGATTTTTGGAGAAAAATCCCAGCTTCTGTCAGCATCTTAGAGCAATTGCTTTTGTCATGTCTTTTTTCTAAACAGTCTTATTTGAATTTAGTCATTGATGTATTTATCCTTTCAATAAAAAAGATGCAAACTTCACTTGCATGTATACAATTATGTTTGTAAAATATCCAAAATTTGTTCAATTAATCCGGTAGATGGCGAGAGGTCTGTCGATAGACTACCTTTTAATCCCCAAATTTATCCAAAAACGTACTGGATGATACAGTAAATTTAAAAAAAAATTAAAACCGCATCTATCAGAATGCTTGGCATTTATTTGGTCCAGTTGACATACAGCTCCGAAAGTAATGTCAATTATGAGGCCCATCGGGTTTCTCGCTGCTTTATGTTAATTATAACGAATGATCCTTTTGATCCATTCAACATAGCTGCCATTCAATGCGTAAACTGAATATTCGCCGTCACAATTACGCTTGCCATAGCTTATGACGCCATAAACGATCCAATGTCCCTGATAATCCAAACAGTGTAGGCCGCCTCCACTGTCACTGTGGCAAGTTTCCTAAATAAGGAGAAATTGGTTAATCAAGTACAAATCTTAGGACTACAAACGAAAGTTGCTTCAAAATGTCATACCCCGTACGATGCATCGGTGCAGACGTGCTTCAGACCGTCAACTTTCCGGTGCTGCTTTTTGCAATCCTGATAGGAAACCAGCGGTACTCGTGCCTCCATCAACTTATCAGGCTTGTAATACGTATGCGGTGTTGCAGGATTAACCACTCGTCCCCACCCAGCGAAATAGCAGAATCTTCCAACCGGCAGTTTTAGGAAGGAGTCGGGAAGGCAGGCAAACTGGACATGTACCACTTAACAACAAAAAAAATGGTATTCAGGCACAAACGATGACATGCTACACGAATATTTAGTGCAATAGAAGTGGCAAAATAACTTACAATTTTACTTCATTTTAACAAAACATATTCAAAATCCCTAGGGAATTAAGGTATTAAGGTACAGAATGCGGAATTGTACAACAACGTTTTGTAATCATTGTGCTTATATATCTAGCATATGTTGAGTATTAAGCCGTAATTAGCGCAACGAGAGGGAGTATAAAAAGTAACGTATTTAAGCAAAACAGGTTTTGATATCTCAAATGTCCTATATTGATTCTATTTCTGTTTATCGATATGAATAGGGAGCTCAAGGGCGAAAGCCTCATTCTCTTTATAAACTGACTTAAATGAGGCCAGGTAGTCGCACAGAAGAAGATAATGTGATTTCTGAGTCCAAGTTGTCTCGAACTCTCGCTTGGAGCAATAGTGAGATTGGACAAGCTCTCAGACGCCAAATTTATCGGTACCGCAAATAATAAAAAAGAAAGATTTCTGGGCAAATATGGCGGTTTTAGGGACTGCCTCAAATCCTAACATATGCGCTACAATCTACAATTCCTCATTCCAACTGGCATCACTGTCTCTTATCCAGTGATATGAGAAGCAAATGGCGCAAAAATGAGCGGCCATGTGACTTGGATGCTTCGGAAATCCGGACATCTCATCTCCATTTGCACACAGTCACTGTTATCGAGTGGTTTCTGTAGGTTAACCTGAAGTGGATCGTAGTCCTTACTTTAAATTTTTTAGATCAAATCGGTGCATGAGTTCTCTAGAATTATCTTTCCACCCTGGGTAGATTACGACGTGCAGACAGACATTTGGGATGCCGTGTTTACTGCAAGAATGATCATGAGGGAACTGAAGAGAAGTCGCCTTGTTCTGGTCTTTGATCCACAAACAATACAAATTACCCAACGCCTCTCCAAGGCATCGCACATTCAGCCACCTACGGGTATTCCGACATGCTAATTCAAGCTCACGTGCGAAAAACTGGACAGGTTCCGTCGGCGGAGGGGGGACGGGGTCGGACGCGGTGACAGCTATGGTGGTCGACCAAGCCGTTGTGTGGGCAGGAACTCCTTTATTTTACGTGCCAGACAAAGGGTAGGAGCGGTTTTTACACACATCCACACATGGCAACTACATGTCCCGTGACATTCAACTGTCTCTGCAATGTTGAGGTCTAGCTCACAATCACACCTGTCAACATAACAACCTTTTATTATTTATTACCAAATGGATAACTTTCGATGCAGTAATACATGGACAGATTTGAAAAAAAGTGAGTTAGTCTTACTTCGTTTCGCCTTGCCTTTCAATCTTAGAAGGGCAACGTCAAATCCCCGTTTGGTATCTGTAAGCGTCGTATCTGGATGTACAATAATTTTCTCAACTCGAAGTCTTCCTTTATAACGGTTTTGCTTGGTGTAATCATGGTCACCGACAACAACCGCCAATATTTTCCCTGTGACTTGTTCTACATCGATAAATCCACCAAGCGTTATAGACGTGCACTCGAAGAGTTTTCTGACACAGTGCGCAGAAGTCAAAACCCACTTTGGGGCGATAAGCGTTCCTCCGCAGTAGGGGGATCTTCCGCGCGATGTAGAGTATAATCCAACCTGTGAAAATACTGCTTGATAAAAATAATTACGCATGATCACAGAGAGCAATGCCTGACACTCGATTCATTATTTCACACATCCCTATGACTTTCCATTGACTGTTTATCCTTCCGCCTAGCCTTCATTCATGTTTCCCATTTTCTGATCATATAAGTAATTCTCTTACCCTGTGGAGGTTTGAATTGGTGTAAAAAAGCCTTGATCATATTCAATTATGCGACAGCCAAAACTAATTATTTGAAGGAAACGTAGAAAACAGATAAGATGGTCACATTTTGGTATGACAAGTCATGTACAGTTAATTTGCGAATTTTATTTGAGAACGTATACGCCACCTTATCCAAATGGCTGGCTTCGGTGAACAATACTCAAGGTGGTCTTCGTCGTCGTCTGTTTTTTGCGCAAGGCAGCTAGTTAGCGGCTGCATACCATGATTGGATTATGCTACTAATATAGTTGGACATCTGCTTTCTCACTATCTCACAAGTGATATCTACTGTCTTATTTGCGCAGTTAAATACTTTGCACTAACCGTAAGGCTAAAAACTAAACACAGTCAATGCGGAAAAGGTTAGTCAAATTATTTACCGTTTTTCTCCTAAGTACCTTAGTAAAATTATTTAATCATCAGGCAACCGTAAGAGGTTTTTGTAAAACATGACATTCATATGAAATTAGTAGAACTTTTTGACGTTCGCCTTTCTAAATAAAAATGTCAATTTTCTAAACCAAAATCCAGTTTATAGCAAGGTGACTGTTATGATTTTTCCGTTCCATTTCTTGCCTATGTCACATTTATCATCTTAAGACTGATTTTGTGGCCCCCGGAATAGGTCGCAGGCAATGGTGCGATGAGATTATTACCTTTCAATTCAAAACTTATGAGTTAAGCTGACATAGAGAGAAAATAGAATCACCGTTAATGGAGTGTTTGCAACCCTTGCGACCCTATCAAAACTACCGACTGTACGCGCATCCATATCAGACAAATTAAAATGTTGGCGAAGGAATTTGATGGAATTAATCGAGCGCGTTCTAGAAATCTTGCCTGCCTAGAGTTTAATGCAACATCTTATCCTGTTAGCTTAATTCAGTCTATAGTCTGGAATATCAATAGCTCAGGAGCTATAAACAAAGAAGACTATTTTTCAACCTACGTGCCATGGCCAACTGTACGGTTTGGCTTCATGCTTGCCAGCACCAGAATCCCCGTGATTCGTTGGCAGTTTTGGGCGATGTCCGCAGTAAACCGGCAGGTTGTCTTTAAGCACTTCGTCTTTAAAATTACGAATGGGAAAATTTATGGCATCAGTGCTAACTGACTAAACAACAAGCTCAACACTATGTTCTTTTTCATTTGCCAGGTGACTTTACAAGTCCTTTGAAACACTCGGAATTAATTGGCGCAGTTCCCATACCTCATTAGGTGAAAATACTGGGACAGAATAATTTGCATGAATTATTGTGCTGATGCTGCAGGAGAGTCAACACACCCTCCTTTGGTCATTTACCATTTTAAATTACATTAACTGAGCTGTTTTATAACTTTTAGGCTATTGCTTCCTCGCAATGTAATGCAAAAGAATTTTAAAAAGTCTTCATGTTTAAATTATCTTTATACACCACATTGTTACCGTCATCATTGCAGGAAATAAAGTTAACGATCCAACCTAGGGTAAGTAACTGAATCCAAATCCGGCAGTTCATTTATCTGCAAATAATAATGAGAGACGCGTGAACAACAAATTTGGCATTTCGATTGCTGCGTTTTTTAAATATATTAGTATCACCTCGATGCTTCTACCAATCATTCGGATGCACTGGCGTCTAAGTGTGAAAAACTGGGCGAATGAGAATTTAATTAAAGCTAAATATAGTCAATAAGCAGTTGCTACAAAGAATTTTAAATGTAGTTGGTTGGCGCAAAGGCGTCACGCTATTCCAGCTGTCACAAGAAGGCCAACAATGGACACATGACTAGCATACGAGGGACCCAACGCGCAATCGCATGTCCCTCTGTCATACTCTTCGTACCTGCATGTGCAACACCTGCGCCATCTGCCGCAAACTGCTTGAACGCCGCGTAGATTGCATATTGCACAAGACACTGACGTGTTTTTGTGCGAAAGTAGATTCCGTACTGCATAACCAAAAACAGCTGAAATTGTAAGACAGGGTTCAGATGACGAGGTGGAGGCTCCGTTTTCTACTTGTCCTCTAACTATTCGAAACAATCTGATAAATGTGTACGGCTAACCGGACTAGATTAACTGCATAGATAACGTTTCGGAAGGCTTTACTAGGTAGCCTCGTTTAAAGCTGTTTGCGCTAAACATCGAACGGAGTTTTAAATAACCGGTCAAGTTGATGGTCTTGGGCTGAATGATTTTTTCGTATTTCATTGACTTGGCCTCTGGCCATTGTTTGTGAATCCTGCTGGCCTCCTGCGTTTTGTATCCTCACATTAATGGGGTGTAGGTTGCATCTGTGCTTTTTTCGGGTTAATTAGTTGGCAAAAATCGACCAACAACAGACTCCACAATGGGTCAGCTATAAGCGCCTTATGAATTTAACTTTAGCAAGGGAAACTTTAGCATGAAACGGCAAAAGAATAACTAGACTACTTATACATAATTGCCATCACAAATGCAGCGTTACAGCCTACGATCTGGTCAATGCAAGTCTTAATTCATGGCAACAACTAGTTTAGAATCAAAGAACCTTGACGAGACTATTCTTATTCATGCTCGACAAGTACTTACTAAAAAGGATGGAGAATTTTCTGTGAAAATGGCTAAATATATATGTGCTTGCCCGGATAACTAGCCGGGTGACCTTGTCTATAAGCTATCTTCTAAATACCTCATCAGGACATTATTTGGGGTATAACGGCACAGAGCCACATTCAACACAGCAGACGCTGCGTCCCTAAAATGCATTGCCGCATTATAATCTGTTGTTCAAATAAACAGACGTGAGAAGAGACGAAGCAGCTTATTTGCCATAAAATCTCCTCTTTGTTAATGCGATATAGCAAGAAATAAATTTATGACAAAAACGACAACAATTATTTGGAGCCTGAAGGCGGATAAGGATACAATCATCATGTCGGCCGACAAAGGTCGTTACGCAGTAGTGCTTGATATATCTAATTACTAGTAGAAGACGCTAAGCATATTTGACGATCCAAAGTCCTATTAAATTTGTG